CCTGCCTCTGCCTCCCGAGTGCTGGGATTAAAGGCGTGCGCCACCACCGCCCGGCCCTGGTCATGGTATTTTAATCACAAAAAAGGGAAAACAGCCGATATAGTGGTCTTTTTTTAAAAAAGGAAATGAAGAAGACATGGAGTTACCAGGTGAAAAGATTAGGGGATTTTGGAGGGGATTAGTGGGAAGGAATGGGTGTGTGTGTGGATGTGGTCAAAATACATTATATGCATGTATGAAATTCTTAAAGAATAAAAACATAAATATATATGTGGTCCTTTCTGATGGTTGTTTTGTTTGCCATGATGCTTTTAAAATTTATCCATGATGGGCCAGGCATGATGGCAGATGCCTTAATTCCAGCACTTGGGAAGCAGAGACAGGCAGATTTCTGAGCTCAAGGCTAGCCTGGTCTATAGAGCAAGTTTCAGGACAGTCAAGGTTATACAAAGAAACCTTGTCTCAAAAAAAAAAAAAAAAAAACCACTAGCCATGACCTGGAGACATGGATCATCAGTTCTGAGTGACCCAGATTTAATAACTAGAACCCACATGGTAGCTTACAATCATCTGTAACTCCAGACCCAGGGTATCTAGTGCCCCTCTTCTGGCCTGTTCAGGCACTGCACACAAAGTGCATAGACACATTTACATACAAAACACTCATATACATAAAACAAATAATTTTTAACAGTTCACTCATATAACAGCATGTATAAGTGCTTCATTACTTTTTGTGTCTTATTGCTGTTTGTTAAGACAGTCTCACTGTAGATCTGGCTTGCCTGAAGCTATGTAGACCAGGCTGGCCTCAGTACTTCCAGAGATCCACTTATCTCTGCCTCCTTAGTGCTGGGATTAAAGCATGTATCATGGGGCTGGAGAAATGGTTCAGTGGTTAAGAGCACTGGCTGTTCTTCTAGAGGACCCAGGTTCAATTCCCAGCACCAACATGGTGGCTCACAGCCATCTATAACTCTAGTTCTAGATTTGATGCCTTTCTCTGGCCTTGAGGGCACCAGCCATTCATGTGGTGCATAAACATATATGTAGATAAAATACCCATACATAAAACAAACAAACAAGAACAAGTCTTGTTTTTTATTTTATCATTATGTTTGTGCATGTGTGTGACGGTCAGAGAACAACAGTGTGGAGTTGACCCTCTCCTTCTACTTTTACATGGGTTCAAAGGGCCGAACTCGTTACCTAGGCTTGCACAACAAGCACTTTACCTGCTGAGCCGTCTCGCTAGCCCATATGTTATTTGTGGGGAGGGGGAAGGAATTACATGTGTGGGAGGGTACATGTGCATGTGTGGGTGTAAATGGAGGCTATAGGCTAATTTTTAGTGACGTTCTTGATCATTCTCCATTTCACTTTTTTTTTTTTTTTTTTAGACAGTGTCTTTCTCTAAAACTAGAGCTCACTGATTGGCTAGACTGGCTGGCCAGAATTGTAAGAGATATTCCTGTCTGTCTCTCCCCACCCCCATTCACTCTTCACACCACACTGGGGCTGTAGCTGTGCCAGGCAGGAGTGTCAGGTACCAGAACTGTTTCTCATGCTTGACAAAAGACACTTTACCGATTGAGCCATCTCTCCAGTGCTCAATGTTCACCTTTCTGAAGAACTGCCAGACTTTACCAAAGCAGCAACACTGCTTCACAGTCACCAGCAATGTTATGGAGGTCCCAATTTCTACATGCCTTTGTGGACAAATCCTGTCACTACTGTTTTGATTCTGGTATCATTACAGTGGGTGTGAAGTTAGTAATTTGATTTACAATCCCACATGTCTAGTGATGCTAAGTACTTTCCCACATGCTTACCAGGTATTTTGTATACTTGGAAACATATCTACTCAGACCTAACAACAAATTTAAAAAGAAATGTTATTGTAATTAAATGCACAAATAACATTACTACATCTCTTCAAAATTTGCCTTAAAAAGTGCCTTACTACACCCTACCTATAAGATGAAGGTGGAGCTGTTGGGTAGAGGACCTTGAGACTTACCTTTAAAGGAGGCTGCCTTTATGGAATGAACACCTTTTAGTCACTCACTGCCCTTCTCATATGTCTTGCCTGGAAGGGATGAGATGGGTATATTTCCAGCAGTCATTTTGAACCATGAGGTTACCTTGAAGAGGGAAGCCATGAGCTAGGGGTAACCATACAGAACAATAGAACCTAGACTCCTAATAACATTATGGAACCCCCACGCCATCATTTTGCCTGTCTCCAAACTTCTCTCACAGGAAAGATGGGCCTTTTGTGTTTGCTCCTAGTGTCTACAAGCCACTTCTTCATTCACATCTCTATTCTTGCTATCAAATGTGATTTCTGAGAAGTGGCCATTTTAGGTCACCCCCACGCTCTTCCTTGTCTAGCCAATTTTATTCTGCCATTCACTCTTCCAGGATTGAGACATGAGTCTTGCCCTTGAGGAATTCAATGACAAAAGGAAGAATGCAATGAAACTGGCTTACAATAGGAATCACACTTCAGAAAAATGTGCAAAGGCCATGGACATCTGTATTAGTTACGTTTCTATTGAGGTGAGAAAATACCATGACCAAGACAAGTTATGGAAAGAAGGGTTTTCAGTTCCAGAGGGATAAGCATCATTGTCACAATGGGGAAACATGGCAGCAGGAAGGCATGGTAGTAGGAACAGCTGAGAGCTCACATTTCAAACTTCAAGCAGCAAGCAGAGAGCAATCGGAAAATGGCACAAGTCTTTAAGCTCTCAAAACCTGTCTCAATGACATACCCCCTAAGCCACACCCCCAACAGTGCCACAAACTGGGGGGCCAAGTATTCGAATGTCTGAGAATATAGAAGGACATCCATTATTCAAAACTACCATATTTCACTCCCTGGCCCCCATAGTCTCATGGCCATATCATAATGCAAAATACATTCAGTCCAACTTTTAAAACCCCTGTAGTCTTTTAGTCACAATACTGTTTAAAAGTCCAAAGTTTCTTTTGAGGCTCAAGGCAATCTCTTAACTGTAACCTTCTAAAATAAAAAAGCAAATTATATACATCCAAAATACAATGGCATAGACCTACATTACCATTTCAGATAGGATGACTGAGGGCATAGTGAGAAATACTGGACCAAAGCAAGACCAAAACTCAGTAGGGCAAACTCTAAATCCTGTAGCTCCATGTCTGATATCCAAGAGCTTATGAGGTTACATCTCTCCAGCTCTGCTGCATGCCTCCTTGCTCTTAGACTGGTCCCACTCCCTGTGTTCTTCTCCTTGGCAGATGTCTCACAGCTCTAGCATCTCCAACATATTGGGGTCTCCAGTGTAACACTAGCTTCACTTCCACAGCTTCACACAATGGCTTTTCAGGGCTTCCCCTGCCAAATGCCTGGCTTCGGCAGCCTCTCTGAAACCACAGAGGAAGATTCCACAACCTCTTAACTAGTGTATCCTTCACGACTTTAGAACCAGCACCACACAGGCAATATTGCCAAGTTCAGCTGCCATATTTTGGTGAACCCTGGCCCCCACTGAGGCACATTAGCTGTACTTTTGTTTATTGTTCCTTTCTAGGAGCAGAAAATTCCCTAGACCTTTTCTTTCCACAAGTTGGAAGTTTAGCTAGATGGAGTCTCTCCCCGAGGGCACTCTTCCCTTTATTTTACTGTAGATCAGACCTCTCTTTCCTATCTCTTTCAGCACAAGATTTGACTGCAACATTAAGTTTCCTGGTGTTCTTTTTCTCTTCAAACTACATTTTGTATTTCTTTCTGCTCCGCTTGCTCTTTTTATAAGGTTACTAATAATTATGCAACAGAGTCAATACTAGGTGGTCTTAATCTCCTTGGCCAAAGAAATTAGTCCATTGCTTTTAAATTTATCAAGCAAGTTCTTAGGAAAGCAGCCACATTTTTGCCAAGATATTATCAATCTTGCACACTTGTTAATAGTTCCCCTCTAAAACCTCTTGTGTTGGGCCTCTACAATCCACATAGCTCTCAGCACTACTGTTTTCCAAGCTCCAACTAGGATGGCCCAGTAAGGTCTGCTTACAGTCTTCAACTGCTTTTCGAACCTAAAGCTCCAAATTTTCCACATTCTTCCAGAAAACCAGCATGGACAGGTCTGTCACAGCAATACCCACTTCTGGTACCAACTTGTTACTTTTTTATTGCTGTGATAAAACTCCATGACCAAGACAACTTATGGAGGGAAGGGTTTGTTTGCGTTTATGGTTCCAGAGAAATATGCATCACCATCACAATGGGAAAGAATAGCAGCAGGCAGGCAGGCATGACAGCAGGAACAGCTTAGAGCTTGAGTTTCAAACCTCAAGCCACAAGCAGAAGACAAATTCAAAATGGTGTAAGTCTTTAAGCTCTCAAAACCTACCTCAATGACATACCTCCTCCAGTGAGGGCATATCTCCTAAGCACACCCCAATGCACAAACAGTGCCACAAAATGGGGGCCAAGTTATTTAAATGTCTGAAAATATAGAGGAACATCTATCATTCAAACCACCATAACATCCAAAGAAGCGTCAAAGAAAGCAGATCAAAGGATGTCCCTGAAGTTAAGTAGGCACCAAGCAGTCAGGAAAGAAAAAACACATTATGGAATAACAGAGCCCTCTGAGGCACAGGGGGCCTGGAGAGAGCCACAGATGGAACAGGATCATGCCTGTTGAACTAAAGCTTATAGTTACTGTATATTCAAACCTTTCATGTAGCACTGCCAAGGGCACATGATGACAGAATGCATACTTAGCACTTCAGGTCATAATGGAGTTGAAATGTCCCATCATTTAGTGACATCACAGTTGTCACAGCCATGGCAGCACAGTGCGACATATTACTCCTGTTTTTTGTGACACTGATGTGAGCACACATACCACAAAATAGCAAGGCACATATGATAAGGGGCAAATTTGGGTTGAGATTTAAAAGAGAGGACATACATTCTTCCCTGTCGTGGCACTGAGCCAAGAACACATTTGGGTAAAAATGCACATAACAATACTCAAAAGGAAAGCAGGCTTCCTCAGGTCATCTGGCCCTGCCTCTCTAGTTCCTGGTTCCCTCTGGTTTTAGTTAGAGATGCCCTATAAGGGTTTGGTTGCAGGTGATTCATATGACTGCCCTATGTACAAGCATGGCTTCTGGTAATGGAACATAAATGCTCATCCCTGCTGTCCTCTGAGCTGCCTGGCACATAAAGGTATCTAGAGAGATGCTAGAGAACTCTCTAGCAGGGAAGGAAATAGGTCACACAGAGAAGTGCATCTTAGCACACATGATGAGACAGTATGCAGTCTGCTTCCATGTAATGCCAAAGCTCAACATGAAACCCTGGTGATGCAGTTCTGGGGTGCCAACACTTCTAAATAACTGGCTCCTCTGCAGGGAGATCCACTGCAGTGTCAACAAGTCCCCACTGAGATGAATTTCCTGAAAGGAACAATCAAGAATGTCTGTCCATGTGACCTAGTGATGTCACTTCTCAAAGTGATGTGCAAGGGGACATTTCAAAGGCAGAGGGAAGGCAGCAGTGTAATATAATAATTGTTAAATCAATCTTAAAGATGCCCTGGTTGGTGGTTCCTTCCTACTAAGTCTGAACGCTGACCTGTGTTTGTGTTACTTTGATGAACTACTAAGCAACAACTAAAAATAACTGGGCAGCTCAGTTTTAGAAACGTTACACGAAAGCAAACTGGTCCCACGGTGCTTACATTACACACTGCACTGACCACCATCCTCTGGAAATTCAGAACAGCATCTATAGAACTAGAGAAAGACTCTCTGTGGCTGGAAAACAAGAGACCACATGTCCTGTACAGCTCTCAGAGTACCTGTAAACCACAGACCATGCAGGGAGGCAGAGCCAGGTCTTTTCACAAAACCACTACCACAATGACTGTGGAATGGTGAAGAGGGTGAAGCAGGTGAGGAAGGAAAGGTGGATACCATGTTCCAGCTCAGGGAAGCTTAATGCTGACAGTGAATAAGACACAGAAGAGGACAAAGGATAGCCTGGAGAAAATGCTTGAAACCAGGCCACACCGACAAAAGCATGTGGGCTTTTGGAGCTTGGGAAAACACAGCAGTTAAAAATGGGTTTAAGTGAAAAAGGAGGGGAGGGAGAAACTTAAACTGAGAGTGAAAAAGAATATCTTAAATGTTCCTATTGGTGGACACTCATTTACGGTACACATATATGTGCAGTCTGGATATAAGAAACCACTGCAGAGCACCAATGCTCTACCAGAGTTCAGAGTTTGTTTAATTTAATTGTTTTTGAGACCACATATCAGTGAATAACTGTGGCTGACCTGGAACTCACTATGTAGACTAGGGTGGCCTCAGAGATTTGCCTGCCTGAGTGCTGAGATTAAAGGCATGCACTGTCAACACCAGCATGGGGCATGGGTTCTTAAGAAAACACGATTTCACATGAACATCTTGACTTTCCAGTTTCCCAGACATTAACATCAACCCCACCACACTGAAGTCCTCACCAGTACACATTCACCACACTTGCCCACTCTTCAAACATGGAGGCGAATGTCCATAGCCTCCACCAGTCACATGAGCCCTCATAGGCAGCCAGCAGGAGTCTCCTCTCACCATTTCCAAGTCAACAAGTCATTTTCAATATCATCACTCACCTCGGCTATGTAGCATTTTATGTGATCAGTCTGACATATAACCGACTCAGCTTGCCTCACTGGCTCAAAAGGAAATGAGCCACATATGCTGTGGCTACCCTGTTGTGTTAACTGTAAAGACCAGTACCCACCCCCCATCCCAGATTCTAAATTCCATTGCCTCATCTGTATGTCACAACCAGGTCAGCTGAACAGCAACCCAGGGGAATGACCCAAGTCTCTGGCAAATATATAGCTAAGTGCAGCAGGCATCTCATGTATATGGATTTGAATATTCTCCTTTGGGAATTCTGCAGGCTAGCAGAATGATTCACTGCACCAATTCAAATGAACTACACCAATACACACAAGGCCCAGAGAAGAGGTTACAGTGAAAATAAGGAACTCAAAGCAGTCTCCTCTCAATGTCTGTTTTGCTCTCCCGAGGCACCAATAAGACACAGGGATGTTCTTCTGTAGGTTTCACTACTTCCTGCTCCCAAGTTAGACAGTCACCGAATGTCTTGGATATACACCTAGAAGAAACTGATTTGCCAATCTTTTGGTCACTAATAGGAATACAATGTACAGGGGCCACAAAACCAACAATGATCATTTGGAACTGTCCTACTCAGAAGAGGTTAACACAGCAAAGGAATTAAACTTCAATTTCACTAATTCAAATTTAAAACTTGGTGGGGAAGGAGGGCCAGACAACTGAGTCAAGGTGCTTGCCTAGCAAGCCTGGCAACCTAACTTTGAACCTGAAACTAACTCATGTAAAGGTGGACCAGGAGAAACAACTCTACAAAGTTGTCTGACCTCCACATGTCAGACATGTGGCATGTACATTCCACACACAAATATACACACAATAATAACAAAAATTTGCCGGGCGGTGGTGGCGCACGCCTTTAATCCCAGCACTCGGGAGGCAGAGGCAGGTGGATCTCTGTGAGTTCGAGGCCAGCCTGGGCTACCAAGTGAGCTCCAGGAAAGGCGCAAAGCTACACAGAGAAACCCTGTCTCGAAAAACAAAAACAAAACAAAACAAATAATAACAAAAATTTGAACTTAAAAATTGAAGCTAGGGCTGTAGCTCAGTGACAGTGCATTTGACAAGCATGTATAAAACCCCAAAATCTCAAAAAACATACCAACAAAAATTCTTAAGTTTAAAATTTCACTCAATTCAATTATCAGAAAACTTATGTGTTTGGGACAACTTGGATATGAATTTAATTTTTTTCAACTGCTTTATGACATCTAAATACAGATAGTGTTTCTGGTGAAAACTGAGTGTGCAAGCCCAGCTACACTGTGGGCTACAGTGCACTCTGAGGACTAAATATGAAAAAAGAGGGCTTAGCAGTTCTAAGTGCTTGTTATTCTTACCGAGAACTCTGTTCCCAACACCCATAATTTTAGTTCCAGATAACTCCCTCTTCTAACATCTGAGGGCACCAGGCACACATGGTACACATACATACACACAGGCACTCAAACATACACATAAAAACAAAAGTGGGTGTGGTGGTGCACATCTTTAATTTAAGCACTCGGGAGGTAGAAGCAGACTTATCTCTGAGTGTGTAGCCAGCCTAGTTTACATAGCAAGTTTCAGGACAGCTAGGGTTACTTAGAGACTCTGTCCAAAAATAGAAAAAAAACTTAACCACCCCCCCCCCAATTCTAAAAAAAAAAAAAAAAAAAAGGAAACAAAGTATCTCTTCATGGTGCTTGTATCCTGACTATGTACTGAGATGTTCTGGATATATTAAGCTCAATAGAAAAAAATAATTTCAGTTTTTAAATATGGTTATAACAAAGCTAAAATGGCCTGGGAATGTAGTTTAGTTGGCAGAATGCTTATCCAACATGAACAAAAGCCCCAGGTTAGATTCCAAGCAAGGCACACACCAGAAGTTGATAATGTACACCTGTTATCCCAGCACTCTGGAGATGGAGGCACAAACTGGGGATCAGAAATGCAATATTGACACTTTGGTCTCTCTGTGACTATGCATCCACCACATGGTGCTCAAGGTTCTGGGAACAAGTGATGGCTGAGTGCCCATCCCTTTAGGCTCAGGAACACCAGGAAAAGGAACGGAGTACGTAAAAGCTAGAAGACAGAGAGGACTGTGAAATGCCATCTTCAGGGCACAACACAGTCACTGCACACATGACCCAGCATATATAATCTCACAGCAGTTTCAACTACCTGCACGGGACCTCCAAAGGACTGGAACTGTCAAGAAGCAATCATTGATTAGGGAGGGGATCATGGGGCCCCACCTCTCCTTGCTGAACAACTGGCTACAATGGATTCTGGGGGAAAAGTCATTGTCATTGTCCAGGTTCCAATAGATAGCACTAAACTCATAGTCACACAGTCTCAGATAAAATCAGTGGATCACAGGACAACAAAATGAAAAGAATGTGAAAAAGGGGCTTGTGAGAAAAAGGAGTTGACAGGGGTGGAAGGAAATAAGGGTAGAAGGTGAGGGGAAAAGGAATGCATTACATACATACATACAAACATACATACATACATACATGTATGAAACTATACAAACTACTACAAAATGTCCAAGATCATCTCTGCTACACATCAAGTTTGAGCTGCATGAAACTGTCTCCCAAGGAAAGAAACAGAACTGAAAGTGACCCTTCTCAGTGCATCCCTAGGAAGCCAGCACTGAGAGCAGGGATCTGCACTCTCAGGAGTCTGCTGACATCTGCTGGACACCCTCACACAAAACTAGTCCACGAGAAACAACTCTCTCAAGTGCATTTCATGCTTGATCTGAGGGACTGAAACACGAAGATGAGCTGGCTTGCCAAAAAGCTTTATAATTGATGTGGTAAAGAGGGGATAAAGAGACTTAGTCTTCAAAATCCCAGAGAAAATATGGCCTGCAGTTACTAGTTGACAGTGATGAGTGGCTGTGCTTAACTGCTTCTGCCCACCAAAGGGCTTGTGGTTGCTGGGTCCTCCCATGTCCACTGGCCCACTCAAGGCTCACTACTGCCTGGCTGCCCTCCTGCCTTCTCCTCCCTATCTCACCACACTCTCTTCTTGGTGCTCTGCCTTACAACAAATGTACTTTCTTTCCAGCATTCACATCATTTGTTTTCCTTTTATTCTGCTTAGAGCTTGCTATGTAGTCTAAGTTAGCCCTAAACTCATTGAGATCCACTTACCTCTGCTCCCTGAGTGCTGGGATTAAAGGAGTGCACTACCATATCTGACTCTTTCCTGCTTTTGCTAATTGCTGTGCCATGTCTACTAATTCTACTTCTTTCTTTCTCCTCTAAGCTGTTTCATTCTGTTGGCTGATTTTATAGTTTCAGCCCTTACTTTTGGGTCTCTGGTTCATGCTGAGTTGACTTTTATATATGGTTTCAGACCAAAGTCTAAATTCATTGCTTTGCCCTGGACAGTAAATTGTGAAATGTGCATTCCTTCCCACTGGATAGTTCTGGCACCCTCATTAAGAGCCAACTGCCCACAAACCCTTGTCTCTATTCTACCCTACTGACCTATGTGCCTGTGTTCTTGTGCCAGTACCACACCATTTGTACTGTGATAGCTTTGCAGTAAGTCTTGAATTAAGAAGTTTGGTCCTCCAACTTTTTTCTGGCTATTCTGGGTCCCTGGCATTTCCATATGAATTTTAGGATGCATTTGTT